ACAATTAATTGCTCGATGATGAAGAAAATAATAGAGAACTGTACACCTGCAATCAATTAAAATATAATTATACATCTTTGTAAGTCCAGCAACTATGGAATGATTTAGAAATCATATAATTAGAAATTTAATTTTTCCCTTTCTTTATCCTTCAGGTCAAGTGGCAGGTACGAAGCAGACAAGCAATGGAGATGGTTTATGGATCAAGCAGAGCCTCTCTTATAATAAAGTTAATCTTTTGATTTGAGTCCCAAAAAAAAAAAGTTAATCTTTTGATATTAGACTCTTTTCACATATATGCTACCTCCGGTCTTTAATATAAGATTTTGTTTGACTTTTATTTTGGTCCTAAATATAAGATTTCAATCCACTTTATCTCTCATATTTATATATTTTTTTTCAAAATAGTCCTTCTAATAATGATAGTTCTAGCTAATACACTTGATTAGTAATGATATTTTAGAAAAGACAACACCTATTTATGACAAGTGACTAACTTAAGTTCTTTTCTTAATTTTTTGAAATTAGTCAACTAGCTCTTATAATTAGGAGCGGAGGTAGTATTTCACAATAAATGCGCATTTATTTAGAGCATGATCTTCATAAAAAGCGCTATGCATAAAGAATTCTGACTGACAAAAGGCGAGTGAAGTACGACAAAGGGGTATATTGTGATGAGTTTTATATCGAGAAGTCTTGTAAATATGGTGTGATTTATTAAGGAGTTTTCCTTTTTACTGATAGATTAGTTTTTTGGGATTGAGCTCTTTTTTTAAATTTGTGATCATGACACTTTCTTCAATACGATAACCTTCAAATTAGACATATTTTTTATTTAATATGAACCGATTAATTGATTATAAATGTCATTACATACACAGACAACAATATTAATGTATTGACATATTTACATTCCTAAGTATATGTTGATTGTTGGCCAAAAAGGATTTTCCTCCAGAAAAAGTAAAGTTCTTTGTAGAACTTTTATAGCACATTATTTTGGAGGGAAGAATGATAGGATTAGCTTTTACTAAAATAAATATTAATTAACATCGATTTTCTAATTTTATCAGCAACTGAATTTATAGCAAAAATGTTACAGTTTATATATGGCATTGAGGACAGGGAACTTGAATGGAGTTGTTTTTTTTTAAATTATTATTTTTAAATCATCCAACAGTGGAAGAAGAGCGTTGGCCAAGAAAAATGGAGGAAGAGCAAAACTATATAAATTAAGATATTTTGTTGTTGTTGTTACTATTACTACTACTACATGAATATTAAAATTATTATTAAGAAATTTATTGGTTAATTAACATTGTTTGAGAAGATCAAACATGTAGATTGGAGACACAACTGGGGCTTGCCTTGCAGTGCTAGATGGACACAGGGATATTCTGAATCAAACCAAATCAATAATATTAAAGTTCTCAGCTTGATGAATATATATGTTCAGAAACATCAGAGTTACTTAATTATTGTAATGACACTAGATGTTAATTTAAGGAGTGTGTGTGTGTGGAATCATATCAGTTATATATATATATATATATAAATATATATATATTGATTATATTGATGTTGTTTGCCCCAATCCAAATGCCAGTGTCAATAATTATATTTGTGATCTTTAAGTGACTCTTCATACATTTATATATACATATGGCTGGATTATTGTGAGTTTGTAGCTATACATATACACACACAATCTCTGATTCTTAATATAAGTGCTAGATAATTAATTTAAGGATATTAAAAAAATTAGTTAAGTTAGTTTTTAATAACAAATGTGTATTGAATTCTAAACTATCATTTTAAATCATGTGTATTAGAACTACTTTTTAATAAAAAGCCTTTACTAAGTTACAATCAGTAAAGATATTTTACGAGGAAAATTTATAAATATGGAAGATAAAATGGATTGAGTATTTAGGATTAAATCCAACTTCCATCTAGTTTTCATATTAAAGACCGGAGTTAGTAATACATTATTATCAATTATATGTTTAGAACCACATTAAATCTCTAACCAGCTCTTGTATTAAGGACAGAGTGCAGTAATACATTGTTATCAATTAATCCAGCTTGAATTGAATTAAGTATACATTAATTAGCAGCTGCAATGTATTATATTGAAGTGTTAAACTTAATTTAGCATACTCTTGAGTAAAAGCGTGAGGAAAAAAAAAAGGATTTGTGCTGTCCAGTTTTGAGGACCAAGGACGTACGACTTGGCATTTCAATGAATTAAACATCAAATCACAAAATTCCTCAGATTATGCTATCCTAATATGACAAATCCCAACATGTATATGAATTTAGATATCGTTTTCCATAATTGACCCACATATAAATAGATTAGTCAAACCGGAGAGAGGAATTTAATGTGTCCTTATCAAACAAGGAAATCAATATTTTCACACATAAAAAATCTAGAGTTGGTTTATGACATTATAGGATCATATTCATATTTTGTCCGATTTAACACGGAACAGCTCTTTTAACATGATCAGTTTTTCAGTTCACAAGATTCAAATTTTCTTCTTAACTCAAGTTAGGATGATAAATCTAAAGTTTTTTTAACGTATGACTCTTAGGAATTTCTTATTATATATAGATAGTTTTGAAACTTTACAATGAGACCTTCTAAATTCTTATGTTTATGCAGATGACTTTAATCCCTTATTACTGTTAATAGTTTTGTTCATTACTTTTCTGCACATGTATTAAAATTTAGTAGGTTAATATATATGCTTATAACTCAAAGCTTGAGGAGTTATATACACATAACAATATAATTTAAAGGGGTATAAAATTGATGGTTGGTTTCTAATCCGTTACAGAGTTGAAAATTTAGGCGGATTCACTGCTAAATTTCAGATGTTGAGAGGATTATTTGTACATCATCCAAAATTCAAGGGAGCCTTATGTAATTTAAACTTTGTTTTTTCAGGGGGAAAAAAGTCATTAACAACAAGAAATGTACTCCATCCTGTCCAAAATATAAAAAGTATTCTAGAAAAAAATTTTGATCTAAAAGATAAAAGATAGACAAGATAATTAATGATTTTTTTTTCACTTTTATCTCTCATTACATGGAGGAAAAAAAGTTTTAAATGCAGAAAACAGAAAAGAAATACTTTTCCAATTAATCACATTCTTTAATAAAGATAAAATAGGTAAATTATATCAATTTAAGATACATGTAATAACTTAACTAATATTCTTTAGTTCTTGTAAATGGGTTAGCAAATTCTTATATTTTAGACTGGAGGGAGTACATGTGTTACTTCTTTTGCCGATTAACTTTTTTTTTCTTGTGGGGTTGATGATGATAAACAACCACAAGGGCAAGCAAGTCAACTAAATGTACAGCTTTATTTCTCTTTGATTCTACAATGGATTTTGATTCCTGCATCTTCCAGCATGAGACCTCCTTTTTAAAAATAATTGACTTCTGAATTTCATTAATTTTAATAATCATCTCAACCAATAGAAGTCAATCGAGAAGAATTCTATACCAAATTTTACCCCCAAAAAAATATATTGAGTTGACTTTGATTATTCTTTTAATTAAGAGATCTGGTCAATTGTTTATAATTAATTTGAATAATTTACATGTCAAACTTTGATTCACAAGGTTACATAATTATTTTTCAAATTATAATCAACTTTTTCATTTGATGTTCTTCCTTAAAACTAAAAAAAAATCATCAATGATATAGAATAAAATAAAAACATAAATCATCAAAAATCAAATCTGAACAACTAAAACTACTCCATTAAACAATATATTAAATCTTTTTATTGATATAGTCTATTTTTCATTCATTCTTTGCTCCATTATCTTTTTTTGGTTGACTTCTCCGCATAAACAGGTTAAGGTTTTCATATTGAGGATAGTCAACCTGAATTTTTGCCGTTTGATTAATTCTTATTAATTAAACTTTGCATTTGATAGGCTTTGTTGCTACGCAGGAAAATGATTTAATGATTTCTTTTGGCCGGGAAAAGAATAATTTAGTTATATAAAAGGGATTAAGTTTTCCATTTTATACCCCAGCCATAATACCAATAACCAGATCAGGAACAAGTATTTATTCAGTTTTCCATTCGACAGTTTGAAATTTGGTGACAATTAAGTTGAAAATATGTATTTAGATAGTTGCGGATATAGGAGTCTCAATTACAAGTCAAGTAATTAAGTTTTACAAGTCATTCCTATTAATTTTGATGTGTTTGGAAAATTTTTGATATCTAGTTATCATTAAATTTATCTTTTAGATGCAAAAAAATTTTATCTTTTCGGACATAAATATAATTCCCGTAACTTTTTAAGGGTATTTTTGGGAGTTGGGAGGAGTAAAGAAGGAAAAGAAAACTCCAAACTAGAAAAGGGATAGGAAAATAACAAAGGAAAAATTAAGAGAGAATTACATAGAGGTCCTTTCAAAAAATAATTATTAAAAAACCTCAATAACAACTTAAACAACTTGTAATGACAAGTTTCAAAATAAAACATGATAACTTTTGAGACTTGTTTTATAATTATTTTTCTTTCTTGGGACCTCATTATAATTTTTCTAAGAAAATTAAATTATAATTTCTCCTCTTTGTTTGGGTGAGATAATTAAACTAAATTTAACAAAGTTGCATATTTATTTTTATTAATTTATTTTGGTTAATCTTTTATTAGTCCTTGATATTTCATTCAATTTTGAGAAAATCACTACAAATCCCGCACCAGAATTTGTTATTAAAATTTTTGGTAATTACATTCATTCTTTGACACCTCATAATAAATTTTCCTTCAATTTTCAAGGTGGTAACAAGATTATTATAAATTTTAAACTTTTCAATTTACTCCCCGTTAAAGAGGAGAGAGCACGCTAATCCACTGAGAAGAAAAGCACATTCATCCCCAAGCACTGCTATAATATGTCTCGATGAATTTTCAGAAACATCGGTAGAAAAACATGGCGAGTAACTCAGAACCTATATTTGAGGCAAAACTAAACAGCAGGCACTCTTAGCAAACACTTTATAATTACATATAACCAATCGTAAAATCAGCCAAAACTGACGGCAAAGAACAAAGATCACTGAGAAGGGTTTTATGTAACAATGCCGTCATCAGATTTCAAACGAAAATTATGTACCATTCACTGGTATGCTTTAACCGGAAAAACAACTAGGGAAGCAAGTGACCAGAAATATATGAAAATGGGAGCAAGTAAACATCTGGTTTTCAGAACCTATTGCGCGTCACCTCTGCTCATCACTAGGAAGTTCCTCACCAGGACCTCGTTGCGCTAGTCTGTAATACAATATACCCATAGTTGCCAAGCATGCCCTGCATATGAACATGATAATAGTTTCATTAGTTAAAAACCAAATTTCTAGTCCAAGCCATATCTTAAAAAGTATAAAGAAGACAAGCATTCATGCGTGCGTGCCTATTAATAATTATTTGTATACAGCTTGGATATTTGCTGCTAGGATAGCATTCTTGTTCTGAAAGCCCCGGACAGAATATCAGGATAAAATTATCATATACCACGGATGCAATTATTAATTGACATGAACTCACCCCACAAGGTGCTTTAACTGCATCAACATTGGAATACATGCCACAAGCAGCAACAGAATTCCAACAAAATCACTCACCGCATTCCCATTTACCCTGAATAGCACTCCCCAGTAGCCATTAACAATGACTCAGAACTCAAAGGCAACTTGGGAGACGGAAAATTCATTTCAAACTTCAGATAATTTCATCATTTTCTTATTCTTCTGAGCTTCCTACTTTAGTATTAATATAGATATGGATGGGAGGACATGCAAGTCATACATGATGGCAATCACGAGAAGGATTTTTCTTGGGTCCATCCTTGATGATTTTTGATGCCGTGTACGGCTTTCTGAGACATCATTTGCATTTGGTGTATCTTTCCTCGGAGGTGCCGTCACTGGCAGCGTAGGTAAAGCACCAGACCAGAAGGGAAGCAATGCTCTAAGAAACTTATGGCGCAATGAACCTACACTTGCAAATATAAAAGGTTGGATAAAGCACCACCTAATTTGCACAGTAATAAGATAAAAGAAATCCAAAATTAAAAGAAGGCGGAAAGTTTCTAAACAAATTAAAAGGCTATAAAAGCAGAATATGAATAGCTCCATCATTATTCACATTCAAAAACATTAATTCCCATAAAGAGCATATTACCTCTCCTTGTGTACTTTTTACTATTCCCATCTTCATCATCAGCATAATATGGAACTTCGGAATTTTGCCTGTCAATATGGAGTGAGCCCTTCCTTGTAGTAGCACCGGGCTGAATTATTTACAGAAATGAGAACAAAATTACCAGTAATAGAGTAAATGAAACAACATAGAATACGCTGGTATAAAACAAGAAAGAAAATTCAGATCTGATTTTGAAGATGCCTGATGAATGCAATAGCGCAATATCTATCAAGAGAAACCCAATATATACATACATATATATATATTTGGATGCAATAAATGAAAGTAAAACCCGCTTACCGCAGTTGGACTCGAGGCTTTCATGAAATTCCCTGCTGGAGTAGGCCCCTCTATCTCCACAATATCTGTAACCGAAACTGTAGAAGGTCCTGATCCGTTTGCACGTGAGTATCCCTCTACTGAATTTGAGTTTGTAATATCTTCCCTACTAATCAATGGCTCGGAATCAAATGCAGGAGGAAGACTGGAGGATTTGGTGACTGGCAATGAAACAGGATGATTTCCAAAGAGATTCTTTTCCATACCAGTCTACACAAAAAGCAGTCATAATCTATTCAGAATTCTTTTACTATAATGGCAAAAAAATAGAAACGGGGAGGGGGAAGATATGGCAAATAAATCTGGGTGCGAAGGAAAATATCCCCTGCTTCGTTTCCAAACCAGCATGCATTTCCAGTCCTAGGCTACTATACCTTCAAAGACACAATTCATTTCTCATCTATAGCCATGAAACATTCACAATGATAATACAGCCCAGTTCAAGTTTTATATTTAGTCAAGAAAGCTACCCTAGTATTATCTTATAAAACCATAAAGCAATCTATCAAGAACTTCATACATAACCTGCCCGATAGCTTCCTTCAACTTGGAATGAAGACGGGATCCTGAATCTTTCACACTCTTAGGAGGCCATATCTGCATAAAAAATTAAAGATGGAAAATCAGTGACGCAAGTACAGTGAAGAAACTGACAGGTGAGAGCATGATTTCAGAGCAAAATGATCATATAAATGTATAGGTCACAGGTAAATCACAGGCCACTTCTATTTGACCAGCAACTACCTTCATGGTAGTCTCAAAAAACCAACCGTAATTAATGATTTTGATTTTTGAAGGAGACACAAAGGCTTCCTCTATAAGGAATGATGTTGCTTCTGCTTATAGCATTTTCAAGTTTTAACAGAAAAAGACACAGATCTATGGTTAATTGTTTTTATAGTTCATCTTCAAGTGCTTTCAAATAAGCGCAGCAATAGGGAATACTTTTCCAAGCAATTGAGACTACTTTTATTGTGCCTAAAATGACGTATGTCATTAATTTTTAAAATAATATAAAAATATAAACATGTCTTCATGACAAATATTTCTTGCACGTGATTAATAAGCTTCTCTACAATCTTTTGGCAGTACAAAATAAAGTTGTTTCCAGTATAGGAAGCATATTCATATTCATTTTACATGTTAAAGCAACATTTGAAATCAAATTACAAATATGCTATCAATCAAATTTCTTCTCCTAAAGGTGGCTTTTACAAATATTCGAATGATTATCTTTTGCAGCATCTAAACAACAGCTATTTCTTAGCACCTACAGCTCAGCGGCCTTTCAGAAGTTACAATGTTTCCAAAACAAATCCTAAATCAGAACAGAGTGTTTGGAATTTTTTTCAAGTGCTTGGTTATGAAGAAATTTAGACCAACTAAGAAAGACATAAAGGATAATAACAGACAAGAATAAAATGTGCCTTGCCATTTCTCCCTTCACAGATAAAATTCAAGGCGTTTAAAACATCATTAATCAACATCACTTTAAAGTTTCAGCGTGAATGGACAGAATAAAGAAATTTACAACAAAGGATACACATAAGTCCCCTGAGTTCAGGTTTTGGCCTGAAATTTTATTACTGAACAAAAACAAGTAATTTGAGGGAAATCTTATGACTCTTACCGAAGTGGAACATGCCGGACACACATATCCTGCTGGGGCAGTGTGTGGAGGAAAACTCTTGACATGTGATACCAAGCAGTTTGTGTGGATAACATCTATAAAATCATATTATGTAAATTCAGAATAGATTTCGTAATCCAAAAACAAAGAAAATTCAGTATGGATTTCAGCTCTCAACAGGATTTCCTTTAAACACGTAAACAAGGAAAATTACATACGCAAGCAACCCAGTCGAGTCGTTTGAGATCCCGCCCCCTCGTCAAGGACAGCTTGACATTGACAGCATTTAGGAGGCCAGTCGTAATCCCCATCTATAACCCATTCTGAATATGTTCGAACCTATGAAAGATGGTAAATAGTAAGCTCATAAACTCTAAATTCAGCACAACAGTAATTTGGCTTCCCACATGAGACCTAATCCCAGTAAAAAATCTCATGAGATGCTCAGATGCAACTTAATACAGCGTTCAAGATAATTTAAGCCGAAGATAGAATGAAACTATAGTATATTACCTCGGAACTTAGATAGTGTGCATTATGAAAACACAAAATCAACTAAATTTAAATGTCACCATGAGGAAGTAAGAGTTCGTGGCCAGGATAGCATTCATTTGAAATTAGTTAAAGATCTGAGTTTTGAATTTACCACACAAATTTGGTGCTCTGGGAAACAGACACATTCTCCACAGACAGGAACTTTGTGCACGAAGCAATATAATTTAGTAGCCTAAACACCAAAGAAAACCCATGCAATTCGTTAGTATGAGTGAATTAACCCGAAAAAAACCAAACTAACATGCATCAATATGCCTAGAAATAAACGGCATCAAACACCCTTTTCCAACACGCATTTAGACAGAAACAAACAAATCCAAAAGCGCATAAATCCGCCCATTAAATGAAATTATGGTGCAAATCCGATCAGTATATGCCCAGCAACCAAATCAAGCATAACTGACCAACAGAATTCAAAGTAATTGCAAGAATTCCCCGGGGGGGGGTGGGGGAAGAAAAGCATCGAAAGAGAAAGGGGCAAAAACCTTGCGACATTTGCAGACCACCATTGCATTGACTGCAAGAATCCAATAAAAACAACCTTCAGATCAACTCAGCTTAATTTGAAAAGGAATATAACAATTGAAGCCAAGTTCAAGATCGAATCAACATAATCAGAGTTCTCATCACACGTCCTTCAACCGAATCTCAATTTGCAGTTTGTCATGCTTGCTTTGCGATTAAGATCCGTTTCAGTTGTTTTGTTCAATTCACTGCGGAACGGCGACCAACAAACGGAGGCGGGCAAATGAACCCCCCCCCAAAAAAAAAAGTCCAGCCGGGCTGGGACTACATATCTATTGGGCAGCCTGATTGAGTTTTGGTCCAGTAGTTATGCTGTAAATTGGGCCAACAAAAATATGCTGTAAACGACGCTGTCGTTTTACAAAATTCCGGCATCTCAAATGGGCCCTGGATTCCTTGCGAGAATTGAATGCGTGTCAACTCGTGGAAATCTTTCGGCCGTCAGATTAAGGGTTTTTCTTTGGAAAAGGGCGAAATCATGTTAGAGCTAAAAAAACGGACCAGCCCTACAAGGTCGAGAGTCAGCCCATTTATGTTTTCTTTCTAATTTTTTTGTTTTCTAAAATTTTTTTGTGTAATTCTAATATTATTAATTTTTTAATTATTAATGATATTTCAAATATTTAGTTGTTATTATCATTTTAAAATTAAATTTCATGGAATGGTTTGATTTATTTAGTTTTAGACAATAATTTGTCCAATTAAATTTTTTAAAAAACAGGTTAATTTGGACTTTAATAATGATTTAATTTATATTATATGTGCTGATATTTTTAAACTATATATATTTGATAAAAGAGTTTTTTTATACTTATATGACTTTTGATTCTATAATTTGAATTAGAAATTTATGAGTTTCAACAGTGTTTCTTAAATTAAAGTAAAATAATAGCTAAACTGCAAAATTTAAAAATGAAATTCTTATGAAGGAGAAAACCTTAATATTTTTGTTATGAAAGAAAAACATACTTATTAAGAAGAGTAATTGATTATAGTGATGATGAAGTTTCAAAAGATTAATAATAATATTTGTTTATTGCACATTTGCACTATAGATGAATATTTTAAATGTTGTTATCTTGTTAATAAATGTTTTAGATGTTCTTGAATGTTGATGGATATTTATATATGATGATATTTTTTATTTGTGACATAATTTTATTTATATTTATATCTTTTATTAATAATTTTATTGGTTTATTTTTATTTTTATTTTTTTATAAAAAATGTGAGAAATATGAAAAATAACTTTTTTCCCTTAAACAGGCTGAAAGCCTGCAGGCTGACCCTGAACCTGTTAGTTTAAGGGCTGGGTCTAACAAATTGGGATATTTTTAAAATTTCAGCTATATATAGCCAGCCCTTTTAAGCCCACTAGCTAGGCTGGCCTATAAACCAATATAAAAACTAATATTCTTTGCATATAAAATTTATCATATTCTCATCAATAAAATTTTTAGGGGCGAAAATGACTTGTATCAAAGAATTGATACTTTATGCGAGCAAAATTCATCAATTCTTTTTATATAAAAAAATTTATCGGGTTTTTCTCGCAAATAAATTTTTTAATAGAAGACTTCATAAAATATTTATCAAGTCATTAGCATTTTGTTTTGGTTCAAAAAGTCATGCTGTGAGCACATTGTTGCCCCTACATTCTTTTTGTCTGGTTTCCTCTGGAAACGTTATGGTGGCTTTTTCTGCTCTAGAATTGCGTAGTCACGGCTGCTCATCACTTGTAAAGGTACTTTTCCTCGTACCAATAACACATTCAAAAAAATATTGCATCCCAAACAAGGATAACATTTCAGTGAGTAAATATGGCTTGCGTAAGATATTCCACAAATTGAAGGAAAAACTGGCTTCCTGGAAAGCTACAAAGGAATATGAAGCAATATTTGCACATTGCAGAAATTGCGTTACAATTATAGAGATATCTGACTTTTCATTGTTTGGCCATGTTCTTACTAAAAAATGTTTGAATAAAACCCAACTATAGTTTTAAAAATACTTTTACAGTATACAAAAAAAAAACCTTTGGATGGAATCAAAACTATAATTTTAAAAATGATTTTACGGTATATAAAGTAAATATATGAATGAGTTTATCTCAATTTGTGTAAAAATACTTTTAAAAAACACTTTTCTTGATTCCCAAACACCCCCAAAATAAATGTGAAAAAATTTGCATCATTTTACGAAAAAGTGCTACCAAAACCCCCCCCAAAGAAAACAGTTTTGCGAGCAGTTTTTTTGTTGATAACAAAACTAATGATATTCGCTGTTAAATTCTGCAGTACATACAAAACACATGGAGAACTTTTTGATGTTTAAACAATCTTGTCAGGCTCGTATTAAAAGAACCCAATAACAAACAGCTCAAAAACTACTTTAATTTTATTGATAAATAAGCTTAATTACACTTGGGTTTGTTTCTTTGAAATATAGGATGAACCAACCAAGCATAACCAAGGTGCTCCATTTTCTTTCATAGATAAAAGCGAAGACTAAGTTATTCAGGGAACATAATACATAACCCCCAAAACAAACTTTACACACTATAGATTACGTTGAGATAAAAAGAAACTTGTCACTTTTCACCAAAACCCACGGCCTTTGAAAGGCATTGGATGTGAAGCATCGTCAACAAGGAACCATGCTTTTTTTTTTTAACCTGCCATTCTATGATTTTACCTAAATCCAGATGCTGCTGCCTGTGAAGGACCACCAGCTTGTCTTCTCATAGCTCTTGATTGAGCAAGCATTTCATCATAATTCTGATGCAGAAAATTATGATAAGTCAATTATGCCAAGTAGATTTAGAGCATAAACATGAATAGTCTTGAAAACTTACCCTCTTCTCGAATGCAGCATCCCTTGAGTCGATGATCTTGTCTGCAATTCCATAGTCGATCGCTTCTTGAGCTTGAAAATATTTAGGCCGCTGAATTTCTTTGGCAAGTTCTTCTTTAGATTTGCCTATTCCTTTTGCCAGCAGCTCAATGTAATACTCGGTGTTTGATTCTAGCTCTTTTGCCTGTGGACATTTTATCACATTATGTACTCACTCATTAATAACAACAAAGGGAGACAAGCAGAAAAGCCACACATAGACAGGTAGTACCTTAATCCACATATCAATTGCAGCACCACTTGATCTGCTGACTTTTGGGAGATATAGTTTTGCTGCAATACAAAACAGTTGGGAAGCCAAGCCACAATAAGAGAAGAGCATTGCATGTAACCAAACACAAAATTAATGTAAAAATACTATCTTGCTATTTTTCAACACCGTTCTAAATATTGATAGGAAACAATCATATGTTATTATGACCTCTCTTAAGTGCAGCTTTCCCCAGCCTCAAGAATATTTTAAAACATAACGCTACACTGATGACACGCTTCAAATTTTGTAGTGTCACCATGTTCATGTCAGTTCACATCCCATTTCCATGTCCGATGTTGCTAGATAACACAAACAATGGAGAAGAAACTAGCTGATCAGCCAGAAAGGATGGCTTTCCATGCAATTGAATTGTAACTTAATATCAACACTTCTTTATTCTACATTAGAAATTTCATGATGCTCACAAGAAGTTATATTTACAATAGATGCCAACGTTAAGGAGTCCAAAGAGTCTAAAACTTCCAAGATTTCAGATTAAATTGTCTTTTCATTCCCTGGTCTAGCAGAAAGCTTGCCAAAGCCACTGCAGAACTAGAATTTGTCTAACCAATCTTCTAGCGAATTGTTGCTAACGGGAGGATCAATTATCATCCGATTGAGGGATTCCATAGGCAACCAGAAAATGGCATATAATAAAAATATAATTGAAAACAGTAGATTCCATAATCATGGATGACAATCATAGGTATATTCCAAAGGCATTAAAAAGACTGCAAATTTGCCAGACGTCCCAAAAAGTCATGGTAATTAAGTGCAAGTGATCACATAAAAATTTCAAGACTTAAGAGAGCCTTACTAGATGAATTTGGCTGTACTGCACGAAAACCCTTTGCTCCAAGTGACAGAAGCATTGCTGCCTGACCATATGCCATTCCACAATTCACAGTATAGACATCTGATTTAACATACTTCAGGTAGATCATATAAAAGAGGCTTGAGTTAGAAGGCTGAGCTTAAAGAGATGAACCAAATTCAAGCCACAAGTGATACGTGGTTCATAAAACACAACTTACTGCCATCATATCAGCTATTGCATATGCCTCAGTTTCTGATCCAACAGTCTCCATCTTATCATCCTATAAGGAAAATCCAATTACATAATTAACATTTTTTCACCCCAAAAAAAAAAAAAACTTCAAGCAAGGAAAAGATTTAGACATGAAAACAATGATTCCTGCTATACCTGAGTTCCAGACGAATTAATATATAAATATATCGGTTTGGAAGGGTTGTCATAGTCCAACCACATAAATTGAGCAACTAGAAGTTCAGTTACTTCTGGTACTATCTGCAAACATCAGAAAGAGGAATTTCAAGGTGAATGAGCTAAATGTTGATATATATATACACACACATACAAACATGTGCACATATATAGGGAGGGAGGGAGTGAGAGGCAAGTGAGGATTTTCAAAAGTAATTGACAGGCTTATGAGAAACAGGCCAGGTTAAAATAAGAGACATCAAAATGGCTTACCGGCATACCCAGATAGCATATTCGGGCATCCAAGAGCAAAGAAGGCAAATCCGGCGGAGCAGTTCTAGGTCTTCCGTATCCCCTGGCTCCTCCTCTATACATGCTAACACTCATACTGCATTGTGCAGGGCCCCTATCTCCCATGCCAGAAAGACTCCACATCCCTCCATTATCCAAATAGTTTTTAGCAGAGGAAATGCTTTCCTGTCACATTGATTAAAATTAAGAAACTTATGGGACAACTGAAACCATCAACGCAAAAGAAAAAATTGGGGACAAGACGAAATCAGCATCTGGTAAGCTATAACTAGATCGACAATACTCATATTCTGTCGTCATAACATCAAAGCAATTTAGAAGATATCAAGAGCAAGCACATGATGAAAACCTCTGTAACAATTTCAGACTGCCTCCGGACAGGGTTATCTTCTGTCATGAACATGTCCATTTGTGATGGGGTAAGACCATATAGATATTGAGGAACATTCTTGTAATTGTCCATCACTACATACAGGAAAA